TCTTCAGATCGTTTATATATGATCTCTGAACAGTGGCGGATCTAGGGTTTTGAACGGGAGGGGCGATATCTTAGTATGAAAGGCCAATACCTGAGTAGGGGGAGGGGGCGATTTTGGCTGCAAACTATTTTTTGAGTGCAGTCGAAGTAGTGTGAACCTATTTTTTCGTTCATTTTTGCTGTAAAAAATCAAAAAAAATTTCTGAAGGAGGGGGCGATCGCCCACCCCTAAATCCGCCACTATCTCTGAATGAAAATATCATGTTATAAACATGTATAAATACGATCTTTTTTTATTGACGAATGTATAATGCTTCTTTAACAAGTAGAAACAGCTAGATGATTGCTAAACTTCATTTAGAATTTACAGAAAAAGCTAATATTTCTTGTTAAATGATGATCTGATTTGAAATATAATCTCTAATAAAACATCAATGATGTAAACTAAACAGTTTATTTTAAACAATGGTGTTCCTATTGGATTTCTTAGAAAATAAAATAATTATCCTTCCAGAAAGAATTTTAGAACTAGTGTTCGTTATTAAAATAAATTGTATTACTGAAGCTTATTAAAGACCAGCCGAATGATATGGATGAATAAACTTTGTTTTTCACAAAATTGCCAAGTTTTTTTCAATGACAAGAAAAACTAAAATACTATATACATTTTTTTATATCCATAAAGAGTTGCATAGAAAAAATACTATGAAATCATTTATTCATAACAATCATCAGAATTCCTGAAAAAGCGAAATTTATATATATACATATCTTTGACCATCATTATTTAATTTTCAAGTACATCTATTTGATAGAATAATGATAAACTATAGTATACATTAAATTGATTTATTATATATTCGAACAAATCAAAATTGCTCTACCTTTATTTAACATCAAAGTTTTCTATTTCATTTTCGTTCAATTAAAAAACTAGAGATTTAAATAGCCACCCATTGTATTTTATTTCTCACACACAAAGAAAAAAAAAAGGAAATGATGTGCTCGATATAAAGAAGAAAAAAAAACACATTCGCGCTACACGAAAAAAAACCCGTTGGCCATTTTAATTGTTGTTTATATTAAGCGAATTAAAAGTGATATCATTGTTGTAAAAAAATAAGATGATTTGATGTTGTTATTGTTGTTGTTGATGATGATGATGGCTTGATGGAATAATTATTTCATATTGTTGCAAATATATTCATTTTCATTTAAATCGGCACTTGGTTGAAAAAGTTTTGATCATTAAATAAAAAATAGATGTGTGTGCGTGTGTGATAAATAATTAGGAAAAAAGAAGAATTGAAATAGAAAAAGAGAAAATCTTGGTGTTTTAAAGAAGAAAAAATTACGCAAAAAAAAGAAAGCCCGTAGAGTTCGATTAATTAAAAATAATAACAGCGACGATAAATCGACGACTCAAAATAAAACATTAAAAATAAGAGAAGAATATTGTTTATAATGATCGTTGCAATTTATGATAAACGGCAAAGAATAAGGCAGCGAATAAGACGGCCATATTTACGTAAAGGCCGGGTGCAGCACCACCGGCACTCTTCAATGCACGATAAACATCTCCTAAAAAAAATTAAACAAATGAAATTATTAAAAATCATATTCTAATATATACAAATACGAAAATCTTACCTAGATAAGCTGTCACTGCAATAAATGCTGCGAAAAGACCAAGTAGACCGAGTGTTGCTAAGCACAGTAAACACAAGAGTAGACCGGCTAAACCTCCTAATAAACCTTTGCCTCCACGTGCTGGTGCTACGGGTCTGTAAATAGATAAAAGATTGTATTAACTTGTAATTTATATCATATAAAAAAGATACTTACGCAACTGGATATCGTCTACCGGGCCGTGCTGTATAACGATATCCCGAACGTCGGACGGGCACTCGAACTCGGGGCATGTTAAGAGTTTACTAAAAGAAAAAACGAAAAGAAAAATAACGATATAATAACAATCTTGGTCAATAATTAATAGAAAAAAAAAGTGTTTCCAAGGACAAATTTCATCAGACTCCATGGTCATTTAAATTAGATAAGGTACTAATATTAGTCATTGTCTAAATATTCAAGAACTCTTTTACATACTCATAGAATAGATAGATAAAAAAAATGGACAAGATAGATCACTTAGTAGGGACTTTTCTGGACAATTCAAACATTCATACATTTATGATGATGATGATGATGATGATGATGATCGCAACAACAGAAGGGCGAGAGAGGAAGAAAAAGAAAGGTTTCAGTCCAATAAAGAAAATTACTTCGTCAACCAATACAAAAAGAAAATTACAACATTCTCAATGCATTCAGAAAAAAAAGGATGAGGTTTGCACCTCAAGGTTGTACATAGAGACGAGAGAGAGAGTGATAGAGAGGGTAGGCGAAGCATTGCTTTTTTTTTGTACACTTTGTGAGAAAAAAAAAGGAGGCCGCCAATGTTTGTCATACCTGTTCGTATATGGATATTATACAAAAAGAAAAAAAAAAGAAAAGGAAGATGCGTAATGAAATAAAAAAAGTACGGCAGGTGATCGATCAAGCGAAACATTCCTGACTGACTGCACATGCTTATGGTTATGATTTTTTTTTCGCGATCGTGCATCGATGCCTACGCACGATGAGACGAAAATATGTTGTCGATCGACCAATCCATTCATATACTTTTTTCCTATCCTTTTTCTTGATAACCCTCTACCTAGGAAGAGATTTTATTATTTTTATCAACTATATTATATTATCTGAAAAAATCTTATTATTACCGTACAGTATGTTCAAATCTTATTACTAACGATTATATTCTAGTGACTGTCAAGTGATGAACATTCGCATAAACTGAATCTCTTCTTAGCTAAAATAGTTATTGAAACTCGTAAAAATATAAAAGACAAACATGCATTTTCTCTCTTTTAGTACTAACATTTACACCATGACAAACTATGTATATGATTCAGGTGCAAATCGATGATGACGACTGTGAAGTCATGCGTAGTACAGCCAGCCAGGAAGAGAGAGAGAGAGAGGTGGTGGTGAGGCAATGAAATGAAATATACGTTTATCGACAAAAAAAATTGTGGGTAGCTTGATCATGCCGTCAACTAAAGTTGTATGCATCGTTAGAGCATTTGTATACAGTATTTTTTTCTCTACTTTTAGAAAGGTAACAGAGAGATAGAGAGAGAGAGGGAGAGAGGGAGAGAGGGAGAGAGAGAGAGGGAGAGAGGGAGAGAGAGAAAAAGGGAAGGAGAAAAACAAAAACTAGGATTCATAATAAGACAATATGATGATGATATACGAATTATTAAGTTATATGAAGAGGCGATTGATCAGGAAAAGTGACGACGATGACGATGATGATAATGGTGATGAGAGGGAAAGAAAAAGAGTAGAGAAAAACAAGTAATACGTTGTATTATAGTATCTTTTTTTTTTTTCGACGTACTGACAAACAAGCCGTCATCGTTTCTGCTAAGAGAAGATCGCTGTACAGGTAGTTAAAGAGAAAGAGGGAGAGAGAGAGAAAAGAGAAGAAGAAAAAGAGAGGAAGGGTCTTGCTAAAACGAAGAAAAGTTATGAATGAACACGTGTGGACAGTCTTTAGCCATACGATATGAAGACATAAAAGATTTTTTATGTCCTTGTAAGTATATTTTATTTGTCTTTTAGATTATTTTTAAACTGAGATGGCGGACTCTGCTCGACGACCTCTTCCAGCTCCTCGACCATATGGAGTTCGGTAAGTGATTTAACTTAGTTGAATATATATTCATAGTAACTTTCTGTTTTTGAAAAATTTCAGATCTGCTGTAGCACGTCCAGTCTATGGAGCTAGACCCGCGATAAGACCAGCTGCTAGTGGTGCAGGTCTTGGTGGCGCTCTTGGAGCAATTGGTGGCACTCTCGGGTGTCTATTATGTTTAGCAGCTATTGGTGCATTGGGTTTATTTGCATGTTTAATCGCCATCACAGCCTATGCTAGTTCGTATTACAATTTTTGTTTTTGTTTATATTAATTTAATATCTTTAGAGCAATTTTTGGATGCATACAAAAGAGTGGAAGGTATTAGTGGTGCATATGGACAAGCACAAGTTGGACTTGTTCTCCTTTTTGCTTCATTGTTTTATACCATTGTCTGCCGCATGCAACGCTGCTAAACTGACAATATATATTATTTCATAAAAAAAAACAAAAAATTCTATTTCTTTATATGTTTATTATTGAACAACATCAGCAGCAAAACTCTTTTTCTTGGTCTATAACAAATATATAATGTACCTTTTCAGAAAAATGAAAACATTTTTTTTTGCACTATATGATGACGACGACGACTGACCATAATACTCAAACACCACCAATTTTTTTTTCTCAACACCACTATGTCTTTTTTTGTTCTTTTGAAAATCTCTCTTTCCTTTGTGCGTGCATATCAATGTTTCTTGTTTATCTGAAATAAAGTCGTTTTCTCTTTTTTTTCCTTCTATTATTCATTCATTTTATCATACTCAATGTCATAGTACATCATATATATATATTCAAAAGCGTGAGAGAGAGAGAGAGAAGACGCTACTACATTTCATCGTTATAATGACAGAGAAAAAATGCAAAAGCACTCAGGTGTGACTGACTAGATGTAATAAGCAATTTCGTTATATATATATATATATATTATTTTTTATGAAGGTTACGTCTTTCTGAATACAATGTTGTTTATTACGTTTATAGAACAAGTTCATCATAAGTTTATTCGAGAATGAAAAGAAAACGCGAAATAAAATATAAACAATATAATATAATCTCTGAAATCACACAAAGAAAGAAAATTGTCCTTTTTGTCAAATATCTCTTTCTTAATATCCCGAATAAAACATAATTATTAAGTAAAATAAAACAAATAAACATAGTCGTATGTATGTGTTATCAACGACTAACATCTTCCTAAAGAAAAGAATAAAGAAAAAACAAACAACAACATATAAAAATAATTATATTGAAATAATTGACGAACCCAAAACAGAATTTTCACATGTCGATGGGAGTAAACTATTATGTGTTACTTGATCAACTGAAGTAAAAACAACTTTTACACCACCTTTACTTGTTGCCATAACATCACCCTAATTGAAAGAAGAAATTTTGCATTTCAAGATAGAAATTAGAATAGAAATTTACTTGAAATAATTGAACACTATCTTCAGCACGATGTTCAATTGCATATTTTGTTGCACTTAATAATTTTGACATAGAATTAAAATGATTTGATACAAGTTGTAATGGATTTGGTAGTGAAGTTCGAAGTTTAATCGCTGGAAAAAAACGAATAATTTATAGAAAAAAATGTTTTTCAGAGAAAATCAAACAAACTATTATTAATTGTTGATGAGTCAGTTATATGATGTAACCAACGTTCACGACCAACACGATCAGCTGAAGATGAACGTTTAAGTAAATGTTCTTCTTTTAAAGGTACACGTTTTGCTGTTAATATTGGTGTTGGTATTGTACGAGTAGCAATAGCAGAAGATGCTCGTTGTTGTACATCATTAGTTAAATTTGTTCGTGAATATTTTCGTGAAAAACGTGTTTTATTTAATTTATTTAATTCAGTAGTAAGAGTTGATGGCGCATGAGGCGGCGGCGGTGGTGGTGGTGGTCGTCGATTTTGAATACTTGAACTTAATCTTGTTTCTGTTGATACGGGTACTTCTTGTTCGATCGTCGTCGGTGAAGGTTTTGGTGTACGATGAATTCGTGGTGGAATACGTGGTGGTACTTTTTGAGTTAGATGAGATGAACCTGTATTTGGTGTCAATGGATAAGTAATAAATGTAGGAGTTTCTTCTGACCGATTTGACATAACGAGTCGAGAAGATGATAATGGTCGTGATGGAGGGATTGATTGAATTGTATCTAAATTTGAATAATAAAATAATATCCAAAAAAAGTTTTCGGTTATACTTGGAATATAATTAAATGATCGATTTGGTGTCGTATTTATCGTTTGATATTGTGATTGACGTGAATGTTGTGTATTAACAGATGCTAATGTTGTTGTTGATGTTGGTATTTGCGTAACAGATCGTGGTGTTGATTGAGCAAGTGGAGTTGAAGATGGTACATGTTGTGCTAAATTTGTATGATCAGTACGTTGTAATGATGTTGAATAATGAATTGGTGGTGGACGTGGTGGTCGATGATGATCATCATCACGTGTGACAAGTTTTTCTTCATCTCGACCCAAATAAACAAGATACTGATTAGCTTGAAGACTCATTAACCATTTAATATCATACTAGAACGGAAAAAACGAAAAATTTCTTAAACTTTTTTGACGAAAGGAAATATTTACTAAAGTATCTTCTGCATCATTATTACTTGCTGATGCACATAAAAGTAATTTAATCGGTACAAATAATTGTTGATGATCTTGTATAGGAAATTGATTAAGAAAATCTTGTAAATGATTCGAAGAATCAATCTAAATTCAATAACATTAAAAGACTTTATCTAAATAATATATAATCATACTGAATGTTTTTTCGGCGGTACAATAAAATCTTTCACAGCTTTTAAATCTATAAAAATAATTCCAAAAATAAAAATCTAAACAATCATTGTTTTTATTATACCTGCTGCATTTTTACTGGTTGTTAAATCGATAAATGTTAGTTGACTAACAATCGGTGTAATATTCTTAAAAGAGGAAATATAGACTTATTTCATTTTCTTTTCAATCTTACTTCTGTATGTTCTGATTTTCGTGCTTGTACAAGACGTATCGTATATAAACGTGTTGAATTCTCTTTTGCAGGTATTTTAGTTGTATCAAATAACTTTCGTCGTGTTTTACGTGCATCATCAAATTCAATTTCCATACATGTTTGAGGAGTTTCAAGAGGCGTATGATTTATACCTTCTGTAAACATTTTTAATAAATCACTTGTGACTGAATGTGATTGTGTAGAATTAATTTCCATAGCCGAAACAAATATTGTATAAACATAATCATCATCAATACCAGATACATTTGATGTTTGATCAAGAATTGATCTTAAAATAAATTTAAATCAAAGGCTTCCTAATAAACGAAAAAATCCTATTTTCTAATGACTTACTTTTCTAAAATACTTGTATGTGTAATATTTCCAATAATATTTTTGCTTACTTTTGGCAAAAGATCTCGTTGATGTCGATCAAACATAGCTTGAGCATCAGATTGAACTTTATAACTATTATTACCCATTGGTCTAAAATACTATTATATTTAATAGAATAGTTTTTGAAGTGTTAACATAAAAAATTCTAATTTTTACATATTTTAATGCACGATGTTCACCAATACTATTATAAAGTGCATTGATTGTTAAAGATATAAGACCAGTATCTTTTGTTTCACCAAATAGAATATCATTACGATATTTTTTATTTCGACCAGTAACAAATAGAAGTGCTAAAAGAAAATTAATTGAATAAAGATTTTTTTTTTTTTGATATTTATTTTACTGCTTCGTCCTCGAACAAGATCAGCAATAGCTGGTCGAGCAAATCGATCATATATTTCACCATTTGTACCTTCACCCCATATATGTTCAAAATGAAATGCTGGCTAAAACATTCAAAATTTTCAATTAATAAAATCAAACATTCGACTTACTTTATCATCAAGTAAAAACTGACTTTCATTATTTCCAATAATTTTAAATGTTTTTTTATGTTCATGTTTTCCTAATTTAGGTATATTACAAAAAGTCTTTAAAATACAAAATAAGATAGATATTTATTTTGCTATGTGATCTATATTACTTGAATTGGTTTTGCTCGTAAATCATATGATGTCTTATTAAATGCTGTTTGCATGATGGCTTTCTACAGAAAATAAAAAAGCGATTTAAACAAATCGACGGAGAAGCTCATTTAGAAAAGAATAGATAACGAAAAGTAGAAAGAGAAAGAGAGATCGAGGGATATATATATATATGTATACATATGTATATGATAGATACAACGAATAACGAGATATCTTTTCGATAGACACGTGTATTAGAGAATAAAAGGGAGCATTGTCTTGAGATATGTATTTATTTCGATTTAGTAAATAGTTTATGAAAAATAAATTTATTCTAATTATGTTGAAGTTTAAACTTGATTTGTACGATATTTATTTCAAATTATTTCACAAATACACATATACATAGTTATCAGTTGAAAGCAAAAACAACAAAAGCACGAAAACATATAGAACAACGTAAACTAAAAATAAACATTCTCTGCAATACGTAATAAGTTTACTAATATTATTTGACATGTTCATTATCATATATTTTTATTTGGCATATTCTAAAATAATAAATAGAAATATTTTATTGATTATCATCATCATGAAGTCATATCTTACTTGTCGGATAAGTAAAAGTAATTGATTTTCTTTTTCCAATTGTTCAAGTCTTTGATTAATATCATCTTCATTCAAAGAAAGAATATATTCAACAGTATATTTTTCAAATAATTCATCAACAAATGTTTTTTTTTCTTGTTGAAGATTTTTTATTTGTTGAAGTAAATTTGTAACATCATCATGAAGTTTAGTTAAAACTTCATTTGTATTCGGATCATATGAATCATTATTTTGTTCATGACATAGATTTTTTGTTTGAGTATTTAAACGTTCATAATCAGCTTGTAAACGTAATAATTCATCATTATTTATTCTTTCAATTGATTGTATTGGCGGAGATATAAGTGATTGAACTTCACGTATTAATAAATTATTAGCAGTTTTAAGACGAGTTATATCAGTATCTTTACAACGTTCTTGTTTAATAGTTACTTTTGATAATAATGCTGTTGAAGATGAATCAGTATTCTTTGATGAAGATCGACTTTTTTTATTACGGCGATGCTCAGAATCAGTTGAAGATTGTTGACGACGTTTTGTATCAAATTTCGAACTTTGTTTTGATGATGATGATGATGATTGAAGTTTAGTATTATCATCATCATGAGAGATATATTTTCGAACATTTATCAGCATTTTATTGATTGTATGTGGTTTATCATTGATTAATTGATCAACTCGATCGTAATCAGCTAGAAAATATAGTTAGTACGATACATGATAATTAAAATAAAGCTTACCAAATGTTAAATGAGCACATGGTCGATTATAATAAGTATCGATGCGACATGTACGAATTGCACCATATTTAGAAAAGTAATCACTAAATAAGATAGATAGTTTTTCGTTTTTTTTTCTAATTAGTTAAAAATATCTACCGAAGAGAATCTTCGTTAGGTACTTGATTATCAGTTGAATCATCTGATGATGTTATGAGAATTTCACTTGTTAATCTCCATTCTTCATCCGAAGGTATACATCGTCTTACTTTTACTAGAAAAGTTTTTTAAAGAAAAACATGTAATTTATTTCTAAAAATTTTTTGATGGTTTACCTGATTGACCATCAACACGATGAGGACGATCATCCATAAAACGATTGACTGAATGTTCTTGCTTATATACAACATTATATCCACGCATAATACCTTGAGGATTAATTGCAATACGACAATAATTAACTTGTCCATATGTTTCACAATAACTATTTACCATTTCTTTTGTAGTTGATGAACGTGTTCCACGAATTAATACGCAAGAACGAATATCGCTTTGGGGTATGTCCATATTTATCAGTTACTACTTTCTCTTCAATCTGAAGAGATAATTGAATATTTTCATATAGAAATTCTCAGTTAAAAATTGTATTTTATCTTTTGATATTTTTGTTTCAAATTACAAAATTTATTTATTTAAAAAACAATAATAAAAATTAGTATAATTTACTATTTCTATTCATTGAATAATACAAATAAAATAACAAAAAAAGAGATTCTTCAATAATTCGTATCAAACAATATCTGAACATTGATTGTATCTGTTACACATAGGAAAAAGTATCATATTAATCCAATACCTATAAGTATAAAAATAAAATAGTATCAAAAATAACAATGTATATAAATTCTCTCAGATCTAATTTGTTGATAGACTACTTATGAGATAATATCTTTCCCTATATATAAAATCTTCTTTACTTATCTTTAATAAGAAAAATTCTTGTTTTCCTGTTTAAGCGGCGGCTTACTTCTACTAATAACTGTTTTTTTTTTCTTTAAAATCTGCCTATAAATAACTGATGCCAAACCATATTCTAATTTGCCATTCTAAATAAAAGATTTCATAAATACTATTCTTGATAATCTGTTCTAATACAGACTGTTTGTATTAGAAGAAGAAAACAAAACAAAAGATAAAAATATTAATTTAAACTTAAAAGATACAATATTAAATATACATACCAAGTTATACTTTGATACTTATTCTGTATAAATAACACTTCCCATTAATAGATGTTTGAGATTTTGTGCATTCTGATGCTGATTCGCCTAAGCGATTTGTCATCTAGACTATACGATATACTTGTAACCATAGTTTCTCTTTTGTAAAAGAGAAAGACAGTATGTGTGTGTGTGATAATATTCATTCTTTTACTGTGCATCATATGTAAAATATATGAATATACACTTACTCTAAATAATATAGTCTATAAATTCACAAAACACAAGCAAAACATAAAGAAGCACTTTCTTCAGAAACATAAACGCCTTTTATCTTGTTTTCTGTCAAAACTTGAATACTTATGAACCTACTAATATATAAAGCATGCAATACAATCAGTTCTATATATATAAGGTAACAAGCATAAATATATCGTAATATCTTAATCGATATTCCTATAAATAAAATAAATACATACTTTAAATGACTATTTATCATAAAACTATTCCGATATCTTAATACTAATATATCTGTACTGATTCAAATATTAATTGCCCAAAAAAATTATAATTGTTAAAATCTATCTTCTAATTCAGAGTATGTATACACTATATCTTAACATATATACTAATATGCTTAGACTTAATAATAATCGTGAATTATAAATTTCGCACATGTATTTAAGAGAAACAGGCACAAAAGAAAAAAACATGGTGACTTATACAACTGAATGTGAAACACGACAAGAAAAAAAGGAAAACAAAAAAAACAAAACACATTAGGATATTTTCTTATTTGTCTTGTTCTTTATAATTTCATTCTAGAGTGAAACATATTTTAACTCTAACTGATGTTATACAGCTATATACATATGAAAAAATACATATATGCTTTTTTTTTTGTTTTTTGAATATATATTCGTATAGCTGTCGTCTTGCTTTTTTGCTTTAAAGTAATTCTAAGGAAAGGGAACTTATTTTAGAGTATATTATTAGTTTTGTTTAGAACGATGACGACAAAAGATATAAGGGCAAGTGAAATAGAAAACTACAACAAAAAGATATCGAAAGAAAAATGCTTTACACACGTCCAATATGGATGTCATTTATTTTGAATATTTCTTCCAATTTCTCCTTAAACACATACCACACTTGAATTTTTATTGTCCACGACCACGACCGCGACCACCACCGCCTCGGCCACCACCACGACCACCACCGCGTGATGGATAGGGAGCTGGTCGATTACCATAGCCGTTATCGCCACCTGAGGAGCCACCAAAATTACCACTACCACCACCGCCGCCACTTGAAGAAAAAATAAATATTTATATCATCAAAACAATAAGAAAATTAATTTCAAAGATAGACTAGACTTACCCTCGTCCACCACGCATAGGGCCACCACCACGAGATTGTTGTGATGGCATATTATTATAATTTCCACCGGCATAATTTTGCGAAGTAATACCATATGAATTGGAATTATCGAATGGCGTTGATGTTGATGAAGGATTATTATAGCCTCCACTTCCGCTAGTTGGTGGTTGTGGTAAACTAAATGGATTATTCATGCCACCAAAATTGTTTGGATTATTACCGAAACCTTGTTGTTGATTTTGTCCATAGGATGGTGGATTTGGTTGCATATAATTTGAACTTGGTGGTTGATTAGGATTATTATTAAAAGGTATATTTGAACTATTATTATATAGATCGTAATTCATCATTGATGGTTGTTGAGGAAGCGGTGGTGGAGGTGGTGGTGGTGGTTGATTTTGTCCCATTTGATTAAATGGTTGAGAATAACCACTAGTCGATGGCATTGGTGGGTTAAAACCAGATGTATTTGAATTATATCCACCTTGTTGACCATATGAAGATGTTGGTGGTTGATTATAATTTTGATTTTGATTATTCATTCGAGACATTCCACCTTGATTATCCCAACCACCACTGGAATTACTAAAATTATCTCGTATTGGTCCAAAATTATTTCGCGAGGCAGCCGGTGGTGGCGGTCCAGAATTTGCTCCGGAATAATTCGAGCTATTACTTCGATTGAACGGTGACATACCAGCTCCACCGCCACCACCACCACCAGCATTTCCTGTCGATTCTTCTTGCATTTTTTCTTTGGGTACAGCTTTTTTAACATCTAAATTTTTTCCATTGATTATATGTGGTTTTTCAAGGACAGCTTTATCAACAGCATCGTAATCGTCAAATGTAACAAATGCAAAACCGCGAGGTTTTCCTAAAAAAAATAATATATATATTTTATATTTCTATAGCATTCAACTCACCATCACGATCTTTCATTACAAGAACTTCAACAATATTTCCAAAACGTGAGAAATATTGTCGAAGATTATCTTCATTGATGCCTTCACGTAAACCAGCAACAAATAATTTTTTAACCGTTAAATGTGCTTCTGAGCTATTTTGTTCTTCACGTGGCACTAAGAAATTTTTTCATTTAGTTTAATTGAAATAATATAGATATATACATACTCGCTCTTTTTGGATCTATTTGACGATTATCGATTGTATGTGGTCTTGAACGCATAAAATCTTCTACAGATGACGTATCTATATAATATAAATATTATTTTCTAGAAAATTTTTTTAAAGAATTATTATTATTACCTTCATAAGTAACAAAACCAAAACCTCGAGATTTTCCTTCTGAATTTCTCATAACAAGACAATCTGTCATTTTACCAAAACGTGAACAAAATGCACGTAATGTTTCATCAGTTGTACTGAAAAATGAGACTTTATTTTTTGTTGAAATCTAACAATAAATACATACTGATAACTTAAACCACCAAGAAATATTTTTCTATTTTGATCACCACCTGATAATGAATTCGGACTATTTGTGCCACCATATGCTGGATAAACCATTTTGACGAAAAAAAAACAAAAAGATATATCTAAAAAAAATGATATAAATTTTCTTTCTTTGTATCTTTTTTTGAATAAATGATATAACACATTGACATTGACGGACATGCAGCCATTATTTAAAACATTGATAGAAGATGTAAACCTCCAAATAATTTTTTTTCTCTTTTCTATCAAGTTATAGATGTCATTGTGTATTAGTCGTTTTTCTATTCGACCATATATTTGTATAGTTGTCCATAGCGACTCTGCAATTTAAGAAATTTAGCATGAAAAATCAAATTTATGTGTTAACTTGTAAATAAATGGCTGATGATTTTACTGACGAGCAAACGTATTTAAAACAACATCATTTAACAATTTATTTTGAAGATTGTATACGAAGTCTTCTAGATACACGACGACGATCTTCATCATTAGCTACAGCAAAAACTGATGTTAATGTACTTTTAAGAGATTATTTTCAACAAGTAAAACGTGAATCTCATGTTATTGGTCGTGAATTTACATTTGTCAATAGTACACCTTATAATCGTCGTGCATTACTTACTCATATATGGTCAAAATATGAAACATCAATTCCAACTCCAAGTACATTAAAAGAATTACATACAGTCATACTTTCGATTTGTCCTGATTTTCCATATTCATTATTAGAAACAAGTGCTACATTACTTGAAGATATTGAATGGTCTCTATCCGTTGATTATATTATATATTTACGTGCATTTCAATTGAAATTTGTATATAGTGAATTTATAAATGAATCTCAACAATTATTTCGTTCATTTTCACATCGTTTAACATGTCATGTTCCAACAGCTGAAATAAGTATTCCACAACAAAATAATAATCATCGCCAGCTTCTATATAAAGGATTTGAAAAATTAATAACAACAAATACATGTTCTTGTCCACCATTAAATATTTTAGATGATGTATTATTATTATTAGAACAAAAACAACAATTAAATCATCAAAATTTTTTAATACAATTAGCTAGAAATGAAAAATTAACTCGATTTATTGGTAAAGAACCAATTATTATAAGACCATCACGTTTAATTCAACAACAACAACAACAGCGATCTATCATTGAACCGATACCATCCATACAAAGTGAAACAAAATTAACATTAACATCTATATCAACACCTTCAACACGTATATCCAGCCCAATTGCACCAACAAATTTATTACCACCATTGCCTAAACAACAACTACTCGTACGAGAAAAACCTATACGACAAGGTTCACCAGCATCTGGTATTATACAAACCAATCTTAATAAACGTATAGATTCAGCATCATCATTTATTGCTTCGAGTGGTTCAACTAAATCAACACTTCCTTTAACAAATATTATTAGACAAGACCTAACTGATACGGACTCTGATGTGGAATCCGTTTCATCTGGAACAGATACTTAAATATGAT